CGGCGATGCTTCCGCTGATAAGCCGAGAACAGCATCTTAAAGTGCACAGCCAACGGCGACGACGACCACAGAATCCTGTGGGCACCGTGCCGGCACCGCCGCGGGTTGCGCTTCGCGCCCTTCGGGCGACGACAGCCATTTAATTTCCGTACGGCGGGGGAACCGGCACGCACAACTCACGCATATATATATGGAAAGCATCATGGGTTCAACCAGGCCGGTGCCCAACCCCTTTGCAAATCGCTCTCCGGGTCGGCGCGAGTCGGCGGCGCCCGCATCCGGTCGCCGCCCGTGTAAGTTCACGCCCGCGAAGCGGTCCAAGCGGTCCGAGGACGGCGCGGTCGACCCCTACGCGACCTTGCCGCCCCCGCGGCCCGTGAGCGAGGAGCATCGATGGGCAAGGCCCAGGAGAAGCGCGACGCCGCGGAGAAGGCGGCGGCGAAGAAGGCGGAGAAGGACGCGAAGAAGGCGGCGCTCAAGGAGGCGCGCGCGGCCAAGAAGGCGATCAAGGCGGAGAAGAAGGCCGCCTGCGAGGTCATCGAGAAGAAGGAGCTGCCGCCGGCGCCGGCGCCCCTCGACGACCCGTCCTGGGACGACGCCGCGCAGGCGTCGCTCGACGGCGCCGTGCGGGCCTTCGGCGCCGCGCTCGAGCTCGCGGCGCGCTGGCGGGCCGTCGGCGACGCCGTCGGCCGGTCGCCGCGCGCGTGCGCGCGGCGCTTCGTCGCGGTCCGCGGCCGCCTCCTCGCGGTCCGCGCCTGGGAGGCCGAGTGCGAGGCGGTGCGCCGCTTCAACGTCGAGGCCGTGACGCTCGACGCGGCGTCCAAGGCCGCCGTCGAGGCCGCGGCGAAGGAGGCCTTCGACGCGCGGCTCCGGCAGTCGGCCGCCGCCGCCGCCGCGGAGACGCGGGGCGCGTCGGACGCCACGGTCGCCGAGGCCATGGGCGCCGTCTCCAAGGCCGACGACGGCGCCGCCGCGGACCGCCTCGCGGCGAGCGGCGTCGTCGCGACGTCGCCGG